TTTTCCCCCCCCCCCCCCCTTCTTTCCTTTATTTTTTTTTCCCCCCCACTCTCCGCCTTCACAAGCTCCTCGAAATAAACATCACCGCAGCCCGCGGGGGAAAAAAAGAAAACGAAAAAAAACCACCCAAAAAACCCCCCCAACAACATCAAATCCGCACTGTACAAAAACGTAACTAAATTATTTAAAATTAATTTGCACTTTAACTTCCGAAACAATTTTTCAAATCCCATTGCCCGTGAAAATAGATGTTCAGATCCGCCGTTTAATTAAGGCAGAGTCTCTGGCAGGGAAATAAAACCCCGAATGTCCCATTTTAATCTTTGCTGCAAACGTAGCTAAGGCAGAACCCGGCTCTGCTCCTGCCGAGGCGGCTCTCACCTCGCCTATAGCAGAGTATGGTGGATTTTATAGTGTTTTTATCTGCATATAGTTAAATCTTCTTGCTGTTCTAACTAATCTGCTGGAGAGGGTTTCTTTAGCTCTTTCCTGTCAGTCTAACTTCCCAAGTGTAACAGATGCCGCTCTCAAGCGGTCCTTTCTGCTGCTTTTCTTTATTCAGCCTCGCATATTTCTCCCCATGATCTGGGTTTCCATAGAGAGAGGAATAAAAGGGGGACCATGGCCACAAATCCCCTGCCCCATGCAGAATAAAAGAGCCTTATTCAATAGCCGACCCCGTCTGGACATGGGAGAAAAATAAGTACATGCAAAGCTACTGTTGCAAGAATTTGTAACTTATTTTTCATAGACCGAAACCCATTAAAGTTTTTATTATTATTATTATTATTATTGAAAAAAATTTTTAAAAAGTTTTTGGGTTCCACTGTGCGCTCGACCCCTTTGGCTCTGGGTTTCCCCCGCCCCGGAGGGACCCGCGTTTCCTCAGCAAATAACTCGCTTTAATATCTATTTTTTCTGCTAAATCTTTGGCGTGAAAAAGCTCGCACAATAGCTGGAGGCAGCCACCGTCCTGGGGCAGCGAGAAGTCGCTATAGAGAACGCCCCGCTTTGAAGTGCAGGAGCTGGGATTGTGTGGAGTCCCCCTGGCACCGGCGGCACCGGGGCTTTCTGGGGTCACCCTGCTCCGTGGCTCGGCCCTCGGTGTCCCCTGGGTGGCAGCGGCGGTGTCACCCCCGAGCGGGGCAGCGCTGCCTCCCCCAGCCCCACGCGTTCCCCTTGGAGAGCTCGGGATGCGCTCGTGTTCCCCACGGGCTGGAGGTTGCGACCTGAACCCACGAACGCGTTTCTTATCGTCACAGAGCTGATTTTATTATATTTATTTATTATATTTAAGAGATTTTGGGGTTTTTTTCTTTTTTTTTCCCCTCCTCTCATTGTTCACCCGCGGGAGGGGAAGGAGAGAGAGGGGAAAAAAAAAAAAAAAAGTCTAAAAGGGGTTCGTTTTGATTGTGTTTAATACAGCATGAAGCTCGGAGCGGTAAGCTGTGCCTCGGTGTCGTGACCTCTATATTGAAAACTTCACCTTCAACACAAGTTCACTTTGGAGACAGGACGAGTTAGATTGCGCTTGGTGGGAACAAGTGCAAATTTAAAAACAGAGTCAATCATAACGGGGGTGGGGGCTGGGAAAGGGCAATTTAACCGTTTCTGGAGCCAGGAGTTAAGGTTTGCATTGTGTACATCAGGCGCTGGGGCTCCTGCTGAA